ATAATATAATATCTTTATTGTCCCATCATTTATATAGCTTGTTCATTCTATTTTCCTATGCATCTGCTAGTATCTCGTAACACACTCCTGATTTTGTTTATGTAAAAAAATTTATTTTATTAAGATAATTAATTTTGTAAAAAAAAGTTATGTATAAACCATTTACAATATATATTATGAATTTTGCTAGAATAAAATGAGAAAAATACTTTTAGTTACCAATAAAATATAGTGAAATAAGAAAATAATTTGTATTGGATAAAAAAGAGAAAAAGAGAAAGAGAGAGAGAGAGAGAGAGAGAAAGAGAGAGAAATCTAGCCACAAAAAAGAGAAAATTTTCCTCGTATACAATTTTCAAGAATGTTCCCGCACAAAATTTTCCACCAATTCTCATCCGTCCGCCAAAAAAAATTTACTTTTTTATTACAAAACACATTTTTCATTGAAAAAAATGATCGGTGGACTTCACAAGATTTTTTCCCACGGTTTCTTTTCGACTTTACCTTCCTTTTACTAACATCAGTTTAACATTTGAAAATTACGTTTATTGCTACACTTTCCGCAACTTTTTTTCCAAGAGCTAAGAATTTTAGGGCGTTTAAAAAACTCTGGACGCGGACAATTCCAGATTCTAAGCACTTTCCTTCGGCAAAAAAACACGAAAGAAAGGGTTCTCTACAAACTCAGGTATCCAGACACTAATCCGCGTCCTCGTTCCACCCTTTTCTATAATCGTTCGTCGAGGCGTTTTTTGATATTTCGTCTTACTACTTTCACATTTAACTGCTTCCGTGGATGCGCTAAGATTGTACTTTTACGAAATCCGGTCATCCAACAATTGAATTTTTAGATTTTTATATTTGACAGTTCGCACATTGAATAATTTTGATGCGCATACAAGTATCAATAATCAAATAGACACACACTATTACCACATTCTCAAAATATTTTGGTAAAACTTTATTTTTAAGAAGTTTCCCATCTTGTTTCTACATTTTTAATTAAAAATTATTAATAAAAGAAATTAAAAATATTTCTTTCGTATTTACGGTAACATTGGTTAATTTGAGACGAGATAAACTATTTTTTTTAAATTGAAGAAAATTGAAATAAGTATTTCAAATCTTAAGCCATTTCTTCCATCTCGCTTAATACACGGTCGAATTGAAATGCATTTTACTTTTTAATGATGTTTATTTTTATATAAAAATAATTATATTTTGTTTTACGCAACCTATATATTTTAAAAAATAATTTTTAAAAAAGCTGTTTTAAAATAATCTATTGCTCTCTATCAAAATTGCCTTAATAATACTCTGAAAGGATAAGTGAACAAAAGAAAAGATAAATGGACTATCTCAAAATTTAATTTAAATAGTTAAACAGATTTATTCTACATTTTTATTTGTTTTTCAGAGATCATCTTTTCGTCATTTATACTACAATTAGGCACTTTATATAACAGATATGCTACATATGTGTAGCTAATCAGCAGATGTTTTACTCTAATGATAATGCAACATAGGAAAAGGATTTGAAGGTAAATAAATACTACTTATCAATAAGTAAGTAAATAATATATATTTATTGTTATCGTTATTATAAAGGCACTTGTTATCGATATAAAAATTTATGTCACAAATTACTTCCAATGAGCATATTTAAATACTGATATTAAACAACTAATTGTTTTCTGTTCTGTATATAATCTCAGATATTATGGACGCTTGTTATGCGCAACCTAAGCGGGGAGTTTCGATATAAAAATTCGGATGAAGGCACTTACGTAAGAGTTTTCGTGTCGCAATGCTCCCCGAAATGTAATCTAGACAGTGTTTAGACTAAAAGCAAGATACAGTATGATAAACACTAGTAGTATCGTTATATATATTGCAATTAAAATAATACATTAAACGCACTTGGTCTGACGCTTCTGGAAGACGGTCGATCGGATCGACGTCGTCAAGAAACGCGTCCGATTCGAATAATGATATCGATCGGAAAAAACGTTGTGGAACACGGTGAACTCGAATAAAATGAAAATAAAATCGGCTGAGTAAAATTAGAGAATGCGAAAATAGGGAGGAAAAGGCGAATAAAAGGAAAACTCAAAATTGGATAAAACTCAACGCGTATTGCTTATACGACATAAAACGCATTAAAAATATTTCGATTCTAATTTCAAATACTACCAATCGACAGTTCTGATCGATATCCAGTTTACATAAAATAAAAAAGTTTCACGTCTACCGTGTTCGACATGTGACCTCGTCCTGTCTCCCAGAGCTTCAGCCTAAAAATACGAATAGTGACACAAATATACATATATATATATATATATATATATATAACACGATCACTTTCTTTTACTATTTTAAAAGAGAAGAAAAAGTAAACGAGTCAAAAATATTCGGTATTCGCACGACAAAGTTGAAACGAAAGGACAACGCAGGAGCGTGCGAATAACGAAACGAAAGTTTCCTTTTTTTCTCCGAGACTTTTCCCAATTACGGGAGAAGACGGGAGAGCGATAATACGAAAAGTTTCTACGATAAGATTGTCGATATCCTTAACATACAAAGAATTCAGAAATTTACGCAACTGTTTTCAATTCACGACAAAACCGTATATGAATATTAATTCTTCTTATAAACAGATTGCGATATGAATATTAATACAAATACACATTGTATTTATTGCCCATGATTATATTAATTTTGATCGAGCGATTTACAGCTACTCGTGCGTGTCTCATGATCTGTGTATAAAGTTGCCAGAAAGTAACGAAAACAGTCATCTAAATTTCTGCATTTTTTCGTATTTTCTAAGCTGCCACATGTGATAAACTGCATGTATAGATGCGTTATCTTCTTCACCGAAATCATTTTGATTTCCAGTGATAACTAGGCCGAGTTAATTTATGAAAAATATAAAAAAAAATCCAATATTAGCGGCCTTTTTTCTCTCGTCATTCCAGTACCCTTTAGCTACAGGGACAAGACGCGAAAGCACTCTTATATAGATAAAAGATATTTATGTAAATCTGTAAATATCTGTATATATATATATATATACTCTCTCTTCTCGATCTCGCAATCTTTATCATGTAACTGTATATAATAGTGTATAAAATGTAAGAGAAGTTTACAATCTAACAGGATTTCTCGAAAAATACCAATATAACTGCAATCCGTAACAAGTATATATATAGACTTTACATATAAAAAAAATATATATTCTATCTCTCTCCCATTTTGCATTTATTCTCGGCGGAAACTCATTCAGCCCCAAGGCTCTAAAAATGTGTTGCCTATTAATAAAATTATGTTCGCATAATGTTTCGATTGTAATGGACGGTTATTGTCGAAAAATAACGACCGGCGGGTCGTGTCATGTTAATTAATTATAAAGATAAGGCACTCTTACAAACACATGATCGCTTGTAAAAAATACACTACGAGCGGGATTATAAACGTTTCATCATGATCCGTAATGTATCCCGAAATTGGCGACTCACGGAAATTCGTCTCCGATCTCCGCATTAAACATTATACAATACGATTGTATATGCCATATAATTCGAAATATTGATAAATGTCTATATGTCATTAAAAACTTCTCGATCTTTGTCCAGTAGACATTACTATTCCTCTGTAATATTGATTCGAAATAAATGATGAGCTTCGAGATAGTAATATGAAGAGCTTTTTGTCAAACATGATTATGATTTATGTTCTCCGATTATTAATCATATCTTTGTATAATATGAATTATAAATCAAAGAGCGATTATGTATATATAATAAAAATAATAATTGCAATACTCGTGATAATTGCAATAGAGAAAACTGCTAATTGTCACATATACTAAGAAAGAAAAACATAATATTAAGTTTTTCGTAAAAATATAAAGAGTAACGTGTTACAATAATTATCTATTACTTGACAATAATGTTTAACGCGATCAAACGTCATAAAATAAAAAAAAAAATGCAAGTTGTTAAGTGAAATTAAGTGAATTGTAGCACAAAAATCTAATACCATACGTATCAATTTTTACGGTTGCGGATCTCTCTCGCGAATACGATCGCAATATCATTAGTATGTTCGTAAAATTTCGACGTATAACGATATTCAAAAAGGAGGACGTTATAAATGCAATCATTTGTAGATATACACCATGAGAGATCGTTAAGTTCAACAAATATGTAAAAATAAAATAAAAATTTTTGTTGCATGAGACGCGCTATCTGTAACGCGTGTACATGCATTACAGAAAATTAGTAATTGTATCTTCCTATGCTTTGCAAAATTTTAAAATGGTTTAGATGCAAAAGCTAATAGAGAAGCTTCTGATCGATTATAAAAATATCAAGTAAATTTCCTGAAAGTGCTTGATACTAAAACATCTTGAGATTTCGATATATCTCAATATCTATATTCTAACAACTTATTTTTCATATTTTCACGATAATTACATTTCCTTTTTCTGTAATATGTAGTAATTAAAGATTGTAATTTTCATGATTTATAATTTGTTATATATAATCAGTCCTGAAAGCTCTTCTATTTATAATTCATATTATAAATTGTCACAAAACCAATTGCCATTTTTCTCTTTCTCTCTCTCTCTTTTGTTTTCTTCTTTTTCTCAGGCAGTGCATATATATAAAGAAGTATAAATTTATATACAAAACGCTTAAAACTCTCGCACGCACATACAGACACACTATCGCACCCTACACCCGAGCGAGAAAGAGAAAGAGAAACCGGAAAAGAATGGGAATCCTTACATGTGTATACATACACATATATATGAACATACATTATATAGTATACATATGGATACGTGCATACTATATATGTATGCATGTGTGTATATATCTATATGTATACGTGCCTAGATTGTTGAGCATCATGCGCAATTAAAGGCCACTGTATAGTTTGAAAATTGTTATTGCAGATGTGAGCGCTTGGTTTTCTTATATAAAAAAAATTAATTTAAATTTATTATTTTTTTATATAGAATAAATCGTAACAATCTTTGTGTCACTGTAAAGATTCCCTGGAGAATCTCTCGTATCATTGATTGAAGGTATCGATATTGCACGGTGCTATTTACGGGGCTACTTATGTGTGAATTCGCGTAAATCCGCTGCACGTGCGATCCCAATTCTACAGCCACGTCAGCACGTTATCTGCTTTGGTCGTGTTAGGATTTATGAGTGATTGTACGTCGTCCAAAATATCACTGCCGAATTCCTCGCTCAGCTGAAACAATAACGATCGTATATAAAAAATGACTATGTACATATGTGCCTTAAATTAAGACATTCTTTATTGCCAATTCAACTTCTTAACAAATATAGAAATTATATTTGTAATTATAAGAAAATTATTAATATATGTGTGTGTGAAAATTATATAATTATAATTATATAAATCACACAGGTATAAACAAAATTTTTGCAAAATTTATTATGATAATAATGCAAATAATCATTTATCTAAAAATTATGATACACAATCATTATTAGCAGCTGCTACATTGATATAGAAGTGGCCACTCACAAGAAATTATTTTTAAGAAATTGGAAAAAGACAAAAACCAATAACTCTGATAATGTATACATTAAACTACTATTACACATATATACACACACGCACACACACACATACACACACAAACACACTTCAAACAATAATTATTTATTATTAATTAATAATTAATATTCTACAAAAAGTATCTGCACATTTTCTTGTAATTTTAAAATACTATGACACCTACATGAAGAGACGGCAAAAGATCATCGGTCGAATCAATGTTGTCGCTCAAAGTTGACAGATCCGGCGTCTCCATTGGCGCACCCCCGTCTGAAAAAAAATCGTCAAGTCTTAAGTATAACTAAACGCAATTTTATACCGTTGTAAATACGTACTTAGGTATTTATGGCTTCGGTATAATCGTTTCGTAAGATCAATCAACGCACAGTGCCGTTCTGCAATCGGAACAATCGCGCAAAATAATTATTCAGAAATCGAGAATTGAAAACTCTTTGGCAACAAAACAAAACGAACAACATTCTTTTTAGCACAATCTCTGACAAATGCGGTGATGGATGCGATGATAGCAGAATACGTTGCGGGAAAAGTTTCACATTCTGAAACATTATTGTGCGGAAGCCGTTCTTACCGCTTGTGCCATCCATGTTGTCGTCGATATTGGCGAGGAAATCTTCCGGAGTGTGGGGTAGGGAATAAGCAGAGCCAAGTCCTAGGCCGCTGTCGGCACTCTCTTGACGTGCGTGTTGTTCGTTAATCCCCGACAGGAACGGATCCATGGCGGCGTCCGTGGTGCTCTGCCGCAGCATCAACTCTTGCTGTACAACAACAAACAAGACACACGCGTGACTTATCAAAAAGATGGTTGCAATGCGAGCTGTTACGCGATATTACATTTCGAGCGATCTTCAAATACTAACCTGACTGCGCATGATCTCCTGCTGCCGTTGCTTAAGGCGTTCACGTTCCATCTGCAGCGATTGAAGGCGAAGTTTCTGCTGACAGACCTGCAGACTCTGGTTGCTTTGAATGACACCGGCAGGCTGTAGCCAATTTTGCGGCAGCATCGCGCCAGATGTCGGAGTTCTCTGAAGATGTGTCGCTGAAGCAATAATGATATTTTATAAGAATACACGTAAAAGATGCTTCCAAAAATGAAAATTTTTTACAGACAATTAATAATACTTCGTATTGCAGAAACTCGGTGAAAGTTCGAGCAAAATAAATGAATCAAATTGTTCAAATTAACAATAAGCCAACTATCGTTCGATTCGATAATAGCAAAATGAACGTCTCTTCTTGAATCTTCTTGATGGATGGATACTCGGATTCGAAACTTTATTTTACTCCGCGTTTACCCCGCACTTCAAAAAGACAGGACTTTGTTAAAACTTACGAATTCGCGGATCGAACCACGAGGTGGTGCGGGTCTGATGATTGATGAAGTAAATTTCGCCCTCGGCTGTGCGGGCCTGTTCCCATCCGTCGGGCAATGGACCGAGCGCGTTGGGGTTGGTTTTGCTGTTCTCGACTGCGGCGGCTACCGCTGCCACATTCGCGGCTGCGGCTGTTTTTCGCGGATCCTCCCATGTCGTGCTGCGCGTCAAGTGACTGCAAAAAAAAGATTGGGCCGTTTGTTAGATGCATTGGACACAACGAGGTAAATAATTGTAAGTCTCCAGAAAGGGAAGGAGAGAAAAAAATTAGCTTTGATAATTATCAATTGCGAAATGAAACAAAAATGTCTCCAATATGCGAAAGATAGTTTTCTTTTGAATATAAAAAAAATATTTTGTGTTTAAAAATGTTATAAGTTTTGTAAAAGAGAAGACTCTTTTACAAAATTCTTTTTGTTTTATAAGAGAAGAAGACCCTCTTTGCAGAAGAGTCAAAAATATATACAGATTTTTATGTACAAGCTTCAAGAAGCGGCAAGGATTTTAAACATTTCAAAATGGAACATCCGTGATATTAGTATGGCACGTTTCACCAAATACAATATAATACAATATAATATGTTATGTCGAGATGCGTTATGGCAACATGCATAAAGCATATGTCATATATACATATGTTTATATAAACAAATTTTACGGAATTTTCGGTTAAATACGTCACGATATGAAAGAACAATTATTCGTCGAAATAATGAGAGAAAAATAGGCAATTAAATTAAATTAGAATAAAGTTTAATTAAATAATCAAAAAGAAAAATTAAACAACAGACTAATTTCCGCCATTCAAAGATATTAGAAATATCGATCCAGATAGTTTTCTAATTTTTATATAAAATAATTCGCCATATTAAATATGTGATTTCAAAAAGTATATCCAAAATTTCTTCTTTGTTTTTTTTTTTTTT